ATCATTTCCATAATAAAGTAAAAAAGCAATAGAAAGTTGAGTCAATCTATCATTTGATAATTAATTAACATTAGCACCAAAATCAAGAAGTAGATTTACAATATTAATATAAATATTATATGTAGTAAAATGTAAAGCAATTAAACCACGAGAGTCACAAATATCAACATAAACTTGACAATGCATAGGAAGATCATGTACAGTTTTTATTTCATCATTAAATGCTGATTCGAATAGAGAAAATGAAGAATTTTCCAATGAACCAGGATTTTGGAAAAGAAGAACGAGTATCTAAATAAAAAAATAAAAATAAAATTTAAACAACATTGAAAAATCCTCTTTTGTTTTCTACTTGATAAAATTTCATCAATAGAAAATGTTGCACGTTGTTTTAATGACCAAAATTTATTTGTATAATAATATAATTGTTGTTGTTCATATGTTTCATTTAGTAATGAAATATCAGCAATTCGTTCATTTGAAATTTTCTCTTTTAATATATTATCATCATCATTTAAACTTTCTAAATAAACATCAACTTGTGCATATCTTTCATACATAGCTTCATCAAGTCAATCCGAATGTTTAATTCAATAACGAGTTAAAGAAGAATTTTCATCTTCAATATTTTGACAAAATAAAGCATTTGATTTCTTTTTTAAGATAGAATCAAGATCAATAGATGTTAATATATCAAAATTAAGCATAGGATATGGATAAACAAGACGAACAAGATGTTCACTTAACCAGAAACCTACATCAGCACTTTGGACAGATTTATATATTAAAATACCTGGTCCAAATCATTCATCATTACAATAGAAACCCTAATAAGAAAAAAAAACACTCATTTTTTTTTTAAGCAAAGTATCAAAACCATGTCGTTTATCAGGAAAAAATGCACCTTTATATATTCTACCATCTGACCAGGTTAAAATCCCTTTGCCATGTTTTTTATCAGCATATATATATTACCTACATATTCCTTCAAAGGAAACAATCATAGTTAATTTCTAATGATTTATTCAATCAAATAACATACACATTCATCTCCTATGATTGTGGTTATTGTTTGTTGTTTAGCTCTAATTGCTGATGTTACATCTCGACCAACACCAATCGATACTTTAGCAGGTCTCATTTCATCTTCATTACTTATCTTATCAGCATCTAAAAATAAAAATAAAAATAATTATCAACTTCGTACTTCCTTAGTGTTTATTGAGTTTTTACTATTTTCGTTCACATTGGTTGCAAGTTGATTTTCATAAATTTCTGTTACTTGTTCTTGAATTTATCGTTCATTGATATTAATATATCTGTGGCCATACTCTTTTACGTCAAGCACCAATGGAACAAAAACTCAACTCAAATGAGTAGAAAAAAAACCAAACAATAAATGTTTGAAGTTTTATGTCAACAATGTACCACTTCAGATAAGTACACCATGTCCCTAGAAGAAATATGACAGCCATTTACACCTTGCGATACCCAGGAAATGAAGTGCTGACCATCATTTTATTCTGTAGAAAGCATCAACAGATGCCGCGAAACTATTGAATTATTACTTTTTTTTTGTTTCGACGTTGATGCTGACAAAGAAAGTCTTTTGTTTTTGTTTTTACATAAAGAATATTCCAATCTAAGATGATATGAAGAAAAAAGAAACGCTTTGATTATATTATAGTTTTATTTACCAATTTCTATTCTTGATATTTCATATTGAATGTAAAATTATTTTATGAATAAGTTTATATTCTACGTAGTTCACTTTTATTTTATATCATTTATAGCTCGTTGATGATCCAAAACAGAGCACTTAGTAGTCATTTTATTATCAATAATAAATAATAATTTTTTATTTTATCAAAAATGTACTTTAATTTTTAATAGTTAAATTTGTATATATAATAGCAGATGACTAATAACAATGCTGAAATAATGCTATAAGTTTTCAAACAGAATAATAATATTTTAATCATAATTTTTTTAAGAAATTGCACGTATATTTACATGAAAGTTTATATCCGCCTTATTAGAATATTCTGAAATTTTTTTTACAGATCTGAAAACTTTTATATTTTATATCTGTAATTTTCAGATTTAATGAAATGAATGATGCTGTACAATAGAGAAGAAGATTAACGAGAATAGAATAAATTAAAACTTTAAGTTTTTATCTATTCTTATAATTTTTAATACAAAAACACCATATTACAGTAAATAATGAACTTAATAAGCGAGGCATCTCGAATATTTTCTTCAGACTATATGACTATTGCTCTAAACTGTTTACTCTTTTATATATCCAATTATTTTTTGTTTTTTTCTCTCTCTACTCTCATCCGATAGGGATATTATCTTCACTTCTGTTGAAATATATCGTTAACTATCCCAATCGTTTTATTCAAATTTCAAGCTAATTTAAGAGATCTTTGTGTTTAGAATGCCACGAAAAAACTCAACTTAGCACAAAGTATGACTGAGGCTCTGTGTTTACGAGTAGCTAAGCAATTGAGACTAAACTTGCATATCTTCTATTCGCTGTTAATCTGACCCTCACCTTCACATCCACACCTTTGCTGTATTTTCTAATCTTCATTCCATCATTATAGCTCATAGACATGTCGAGCGTAAATCTAACTAACAAGAGAAGATTCCCAAGTGTTGGCACGCATGATGAGCATAAAAAAGCTTAGAAAAGTAGAACTATCAATTTTATAAAACATTAACATGGTTCTAAATGTCAATTATTATTATGTTACTTCTTCTTAGAATTACGAGATATATACAGTTCAAAGTTTTAGTGTATCGATAGCTTATTTTCTTCGATTATCATTTTCATAATAGTCTAAACAATTTAGTCTAAGAAAAAATGAATGTATTATCCTAGAAAATCACATTTATCAAGATTGTGACATAAGTACTCAATATATTAAAAATATTCAACTGTATATCTCATAATTCTAGGAAGTAACAGAATAATTGACATTTAGAACTACATTAATATTTTCTAAAATCGTTAGCTCTGCTTTTCTAGACTCTTTTGTGTTCATAATGTCACATGATCTTCCACATGAGTACGATTATATGTGAGAAAAACTCTTAACTCATTTTAACTTGTATTAGTTGAGATAGTCATTTTTCTCAGATAAAATGACTCTTATAATTGTTATAGTAAAAATGTTGGATCTCCTTAGAAACAAGCCATGGACATGAACTTTTTTTATGATAAACATAATTCACTAAGATCTACAAGATGCATTAAGTTCCGACTCAAAAGCACTCCAATACTTGAGAATGTTCCTTTGTAAATTATTTATTTTTAAATGAGTTTTTAAGTTAACAATAAATCATTGATCAGATAAAAATATTTAGAATATTTTCATAATAAAAAATTATCGATATTTATGTAGCATATTTTGTTGTATCATTCGTTTATAATCTTCCTCTCTCAATCCTAGTACAATATTAATTGATCCATCTCTTGCATATGTATCCATCATTGGAAAATATCGTGGATATAAATAATTAGTTGGTCCACTGTAGATAGGAAATCCACTATTATCAAAATTAGCATTCAATAAATTTCCTTTTCGCCATGATACACAATGAAAATCATGATTAATTATATCTGCATCTACTCGATTTTTGTTTATGTCACCATCACCACTCATTAAATAAGCATTATATTCTCTCAATGTATGTTCCGATTGTTTTGAATACATTTTATGGATCAGTTCTGCTAATGATGAAAGAGTTGGTTCCCGATCTGATGGTATCTCATCGTAGAGCCAAAATGGAAATGAACCAAAGTAATTGAGAACAGTTGATGAACAACAAGAAACGAAATTTGATCGACCATTGAACGATTGTAGAATTTTGATATTATCAGTTAATGAGGTTTGAGTGGCTGCTGCAATCACTAAAATCATGTGCGCATAAAGAGCATCGTAAGTACTGATGTAATCAATGGATTTTGATATGTCTTTTGATGCTTCTTTTTTAAGATTATTTAACTCGTCAATAGAGAAAACATAAACTTTAGAAATTACACGTTGTGATTGTGCTTGAATGAATGGTGTATTAGATGATGGATTGATATTTCGATTGAAAACACAGTCCTTTGGTCGAGTCTGAGAATTTATCCGTTGTTGTTGTTGTTGTTGTTCAGTAGGATATAAGATGAAAGTTTTGTCGAACATTGGCATCTTTTGTGGTGGCTTACCAGAAGCCCATGTATTAATAAAATGTGACATACTTTCTGCATCCGTTAAACAATGAGAAGCTGATATACTAAGAATAACACTATTACACTTGAGACGCGTCACTTGTATTGACATGCAAGGTCCTGTCCAATCGGTTTTTATTCTTACAGCTAAATCACTCGTATTGATATGTTCATAATCAAATCCTTCGTCTAGAAATGTTTGCGGTATAAAATAGTCTAAAGTTTGATTTGGACATTCTGCTTCAGTGTAAAGAACACCTTCATTTGTCAAATGCATAGTAACATTGCCTTTCGTATCTTCTGTAGCACGACTAGCTAGTATAGGAAAATAATTGAGAGTATCCGCCAGAGTCATTTGTAATTGATCGGACGGCATAAAATCATCTTTTGACAGATTTGTAGTATTCGAATAGATCCAAATCATATTGACAGAAAATTGTTTTGCATTTGATTCAACTGCCATACATGTTATAGACTCAATGTTTTTCAATGGATTTGAACATTTGATAGTAATAGACTTCTGTTTGATGATAGTAGCCATAGTACAAGTATGTAAAATAATTAGAATCAATGTGTTTTTATATTTATTTTGCAGCGATGTGTCGCAATTTTATGTTGTTCTTGCGAAAGAAAAAAACGACTTATATTCTATGTGTAACAGAGATAATAATGAATGAAAAGAATGACATTTGCATCTTGATGTCATGAGAGAAAAGAAAAAACGTAGCAGAGATTACCTTTATATTTTTTTTTTGAGCTTGCTCGATTTATTTTTAAATGCGAAAGGCATACAAAGAGAAAATGATAAGCGTGCACAGCTTTTTGTGTTAGCAGTGCGATTAAAGCATACATGTACTAGGGTATGTTTTACTAACGAATAAAAAGATTACAATAAAAGAAAAGATAAGAACACAGTCGAAAGAAAATATAAAAGACGAAGAACAGAGAAAGAAAAATGAAAAAAAAAGAGAGGACAGAAAAAGATGATGATCGATAAGAAGAGAGTGACGCTTTTTATGTCAATTATTCACTTTTGATACAAAGAAAGTGATCCAAATGGTTATTTTTACTCATAGAAATGAATTTTCATAAAATACATCTTTGTAAAATAAAACGGGATAAACTAAGTTCCATCTTGTCAATTTATTCTAATCTTTTCATGATTTATTGTTACACATTAACTTCAGTGAACATTTCATTTACAATTCAGAGAAGATTCTTTGTTCGAGCATAGTCAGAGTCCATTTCTATATTTTTTCTACAATGATTCGTGCGATGGTTTTCGGCGGAAAGGGATTGAACTGGATGGTTCAGACAAAGTAAGGACAACTAAAAGAGAAGAATATTTTTCATAGGAGCTACTCAAAGAGATCTTCTCCATCATCTTTCATCTATTTCAGTTTTCTGAAATTGCAAGTGTAAACCGATCAGTACGCATGCAAATCAATGGAGAAAACAATATAATGAAAGAAAGTTATGAAAAGAATTTGATTCTACGTTAGTACAGCATCATCAACAGTAGTTTTATTAAAGCTAAGTATTAAAATAGTGTTAAACCTTTGAAGAGTCTATTTCTTGAGATGAACTATTACCTTGACAATAATAATTTAATTATATTGTTGAAAACAAAAACAGAACTTTTCTATTCACACTATCCGTTTGAATCTTGAATCACTGATGGAATTTAATAAAGGGCATAAAAAGATTTTATCAAAACAATATCTACAGAACATACGTAGTTTTGATCAACTGACTATTAAAACTTTGTTATTTGTTTACAGGTCAGTAAATGATGGTACTATTCTTTGAATTATAACATTCAATGGAAGAATGAATAATCTATAGAATTCACCATGCACAAGAAAAATTCAATTTATAGATATTGACTCTGACTTTGGCTCATAGAGTCTTCTATATAACGTCTCTCTTATATGAATTTGATATGAATAAATTTTTGATTCGTTTGCTATGCCGAATGAAAATCTTCATGAAACGAAAAGAACTGCAAAACAATTTTTACTATTATAGTTTATTTTTGTGCTTTTTGCATATTCATTAAAATGACTGTTTCTTGATTAATAAATGAAAACATTTGACATCCTGATGCAAGTGACACATTTTTAAAACTGACAATATCTTCATCGTGAGTTTAAAGATATTTCTGAAGAACAAATATTAGTTTTATTCTATACCATGACTAGATTAACGATGGCAAAGACACTTTTTAGAAATCAAAATTGGAACTGGATCAATAATTTCGGTTCTGACTTCGGGCACTTCTGGGAATCACCGAGCTCTAATATATGGTGTGAGGAGTAAGATTGAATATATGATCTTCTCTTTAGCTTTGCTTTCATCCACCTTCAATCCTCAAATTTCATTTGAATCTTCTATCAGAAGATGCTACTACGTTAGTGATTGTTTCTTATTCGATTTGTAATATCTAAAGAAATAATTTCAGAAGAAAATGTATTATAAGAATTCAAAATCCAATCTTTCTACACTCATAAATGTGTCATTTAATACGATAGAAAGAAGCTACACTACGTAATCAAAATAAATGAGTATTATTTATTTCTAGTGGCAAAATATCGTCGTGACCAACTATTAACCTTTCCAACCAATTTTTTTTAGCCATTGCTCGAATGTATTTAATGCTGTTAACCTTTGTCCAGATGTCCAATCTTTATCTTTGCCATAATAGCCGTATTCTTCAGACCATTGAAACATAGCAATTATTTCATTTTGTACAGGTTTCGGCAAGTACAGAGTTCCCGATCGAAATTCTTCTTCCGTCAATGTTTCTGCTATAGCTGGAACATCAGTAACTTTGGTGAAAACCTTTGAAATATCGCCAAATTGAATAGCTTCACCACAAATGCAAATATCTTGACCAACATATTTGTCGGGATCGTCTAAAATCTTACAAACAACGGGACAAGTATCTTCGATGTCCACCATATGCAATTTTGTTTTTTTCGTCGATAGGCGCTGCAAAAACAATCGTACCATCAGCTGATTTCTGTGCTTTGAAAAAACCTAATCAATTTTGCATATAGAATCTGGGTTCGAGATAGATTGCTTTCAATGTTGGATATTTTTCCTTGATGTAATCGCGTACTTGGGCTTTTATTTGCAAAGTGTGGTACATAATTTAAAAGTATATATTGAAATGTATACTACAAGAAAGTAATTTATAAAAAAACTTACTATTTTTCACCGCTCAATTTCGTAGTGTCTTCAAGGGTACTGTATATGTAATATGGAATTTGATGAGAAGCAGCAACATCTGTCATTAGTTTACCCTGTTGAATTTCAACCTCAGGTTGATCAGGTTGTGCCCAAAAGTCTGTTAAAGCGAAGATAGGCCATGAATCTTTAAATGCCTGTTGAACATTATCCCTGTTGCTGATATTATATGAGACCATCTCGACATGATCACTCAAACGTTTTACTGCCTGAGCTTTTTCACTTGTTGCATCACGTGTTAAACCACGAATCTTTTGAAGAGGAGCAGGGTGTGGATGTGGATGTGGATGTGGACAAAGAAAAAAGACCCACATCCACACGGCCCTCAAAAAAAAAAATTCTAGCCGATCTCTTAAATATCATTATGATCATTATAAGAACACATTTTAAAAAAAGGATAATTATATAGACTGTGAGTGGCCGGAGTTTTGTATGACTGTCTATATTTAAACTTTGAATTGCATCTATTTCCTGAAAGATAAATCGACTGCATTGAAAACAGTCTCATTATCAGATTCACATGGACTGAATATTGTCATTGTCTTCTCAATTAGATTTTTAAAATTAGAAGAAAAAATAAAGATTTGTTAATAATAAAGTATTTTATAAAGTTGATATTTCAAAGCAAAACAAAAAAATAATAGTTAAATAATTATTTATTTTGTCGATTTATTTCCAAAATACTAATATCTTTGATTTGTTTTTGTTTTGAATCGAACAATGGATATAGTATAAAGACAAAATGTATAGAAAAAATTATGTTTATTTTTTTTTGCTAACTATGATCATTCTCTCTCCATCTGTTCACAGTAGGGAGCTGTGGGTCCATATTTTTTTAGACCTAGACCCTGTAGGATTCTGATCTGAGTTTTTTCCTGCCAATATCTGGCACCCTCGTTGTACATGAACAAGTAAAGAATCAAAGTTTTAGCTATTCATTAACTACTCAGAGAAAAAAGTCAACGTAAAGTTATTTCTTGATGTTCACTTTTCTATCACTTGATGCTTAATAAATAAAAATTTTTTGCGAAGTTGAAAAGAACATTATGTTAAAAAAAAAGAAAATTGAAAAGTTATAAGGCCTTCCTCTCTCAAAAATCGATCTCAAACCAGGCCCATCCAAATTCCATGAAATTTGCAGGATATGTTGGAGTTGATGTGGGAAGGCTATGGTAAAATTTTTAGCGGTATATAATGACGTTTGACAGAGATATTCAGCGAAAAAGGATCAAAAATAGCTCGATCATATCTCCAAGAATTCTCTGTGAACCTTCATTCTTTACATTTAATTTTTTTTTTGTTTAAAGCAAGTCCAATAACCCAAAAAACCCCTAAAAATGGTGCTGTTTCTATAGAAGTGTTTTCTTATATGATAATGAGAAAGCTTATTATAAAAAAAGGGTGACGAGAGAGGCTAGTCCTAAACACGAGATTTCCAACAAAAAAACCAAGTTATTGGCTACAATGAAGCTCCTTCGAGAATTCTTGGAGATACGATCGAAAACCTATAAAACGAAAAAGATTTTTGATGTTTTTCAAAAACAGCTTATTTTTCGAATGGGAGATGACGGAAATCTTCAAAAATTTTTGGAAACAATGAAGCGCCGAGTAAAAATTTTTGTCGTTTATCAGAGATCATGGGCTATCTTTCCCTGTATTTATCTTAATTTCGGTAATTCTGACAAAAAGTGGCTTTTTTTGAGAGGGCCTTAATTAGTAAACAAAATACTTCAATTCAACAGTAACATCAAAATCTTCAGCTGGACGGAATAGTTTTGGTTGTATTTATGAAAACAAGATCAAGCAAGAATATGTTCTATGCAATCAATGTAAAGATTTACTGATTTATAAATCATCTTCTTGCACTAGTTGACTATCTAAGTAGTTTTCAATGCTCAAATAAGTAGCAATCAACTTTATGCATCTTCAAAAACTGAACCAGCTATTCCAGATCTAGTTGAGAAGGAAATTAAAGTTACTTGTACTGAACTTGCAGCATCTGACTGTCGACTATTCAAAACAATTAATGATGTCGGTTTTAAAAATCTTGCACAAAAAATTTTTAATGTTGGTCGATACTTAACTATAGGGAGCTGCGGATCCACATTTTTGTGACTCACAATTGAGCCCAGATTTGACAGACCTGCAGCTCCCTAGTCCACAGATATAAGGTATTCACTCATTTTGATCTTCAGATTGTCATAACTTCGCAACTTAATGTGACAAAGACCTGAAACTTACACTGCAACAAGATAAAGGGTGTCTATTAAGTTTTGATTCCTTTCAATTTTTTTTCCTTATATATGTTTTTTAGTAGAATAGGCTCATATTTGCAGCATATATACTAAACATCTAGATTTACTGTACGCTAGAATTTGATCTTTCTACCTTTTATAGTCACAGAGATATAAGTAACATAAAAATTCAAAGAAATTTTTTTGAATCATTTCTGAGGACTTTTCTGCTGTTTTATTAGGAATATTAAATAAACACAAGTCGAAAATGTTTAAACATAACAAAAAGACAACGTATGTCAATGTTTATGTATCTACTCTCTATCTTAATCTATCACTTATTTCAATAGACTCGGTAATTTTTCCGTCATTTGCTTGTATTTTGTTGAAATGAGTATTTTTCAATTCTGATTCATTTTCAAATCTTTCTTGTCTAAATTTTTCTTTCATTGAACCTCAAATTGTCTTATTTAATCAAATATCAACAAATTTTATATCACCAGCTTCAAGATCGATACGCTCGTTAAATAATGATTCAATAGTATTCATCACAATTGTTATTCAATATTTGCTATCTTGATCATCTTGAAAAAATGATACCAAATTAGTATTTGAAAAAAAATGACAAATTACACAACGCAGAAGTGAAATGCAGAAAACTAAAACTTACTCTTTATGAATGATTCATTGAGAGTATGGGTGCGGATACAGTTTTTTCTTTACATCGACATCCGATCCATTTTGACTGGATCATTTGTCTGTGACTCAAGTTGCTCATTGAGACAAAGGATGATCTCCAAGTTATTGCAAAAATCTATTCGTTCCACCTAACCTATTAGTGTGGCATAAGTCGACAAAAGGAAGGACATGATTTGTGGAATTCATCTGTGAGCTCAATTAAGATGTGGACAACAACTCTCATCAAAGCATGTGATTGATCAAAAAGACTTGAGATTAGCATAACTGATGTGCAGAAGCTGTTTGCTTTGTGGGTGTCATAGATATCCGAATGTGGATATTTGATCAAGATCGAATTGATTAAATTTCGAATGTACTGAAAAAAATGAGGAACTTCTGAGATCATTTTACACTCTTCACTTTAAGTCAATGATCAACAATGAAATAACAAAATCATTCAGTCAAGATGAAGTTCAAGACTCTTGATCGATTGTTAGGAGACGCAGTTGAATATGTATGTATATAGCCACAGTAATCAGTTCATCGATTGAATGGCATTCGAATTTTGCGTCTTCGAAATTTCACAACCCTTTGTTTGACTCTATTACTTGATAATTCTAGTTGAAAAATTGACTCTCGATGTTCGATGTTTTATTTCAGGAAAGTTTTTTCTCTTTCATCATTATGATAAGACTGAAGACTATGCTACTGTCTTATTGAGATTTATTCTATTTAGTTCCAAATGGTTTAGAGTTCTGCACTGTTTCACGATATAGTCAGTGTCTCTAGGTCTGTTCTTGATAACGAACAGGTGGTGTCAGACTTCGCTTCGGATGTAAACTTGTCCAGGTGAATAAAGTGATAGCAATGGATGTCAATTGAAATATATAAAACCAAAGTTCTTTTTTGCTGGCATTAACATAATTCTCGGATATAGAAGTAACAAGAATGAAAATGGCAACAATAATACACCTAAGACTCGAGATGATTAACAAAAGAACAATCGATGCCGATAATTGTCGAAACCGAAAGCTGGTATCAGTCTTATCCGATTCATATGATAATGTTCCAGCTGAAACTACTATAATAGCCGACCCGATAGCACCGAGTAGCGGACTGATAAGAGTAGTTCGAGAAAAACAAGATTCTGTGCCGCGCATTTCAATGAGAAAATCGTAATTGACTAAAATGGTCAAATCTTGTCCAACAGCAAAAAGAACAGTTGTAGCTGTGAATGCAGTCCTCGAATTGCGTGTATCAATATAAAGTACTGCACAAAGTACAAGTTCGGCGAAGATCGTCAAATGAGAAATGACAAGAAGAATGTTCAAATGACGTCACCGAATTCATACATACTAAGATGGATATAAATAGTTCGAAAGATCAGCTATGACAATTCCTAGAACAATACTGACTAATCCGATTTTCAATTCATTGAGACCATCTATCGTCAACTAAAGAATTGTTATTCATCGGCATTCACAATAATCATTCATTAATTTAAACTTAGTTTATTAAAGGAAGTCAACTTCTTTTAATTATTTATACCTTGACAAGTCTTCTCTTCGAAAAAATCCGATCTACTTACTTGTGTTGGAGAATTTTTTCTCGTCATCAAAAATTTGTGCTAACCTAAAATACTTGAACTTCTCTTTCTTTTTCTTTTTGAATTTTGTAGTGTTATCTTTGTTAGTGCTTCTTTGCCTTCTCCTTTCCTTCCTTCTCTCTACATGTAGATGTCCTCATGGGATATCATGTAATAGAGAGAGTATGTAATAATGAGCTGGTTTTTTAAATTTTACGACAGTATTGACAGTTAAGCAAGAAAATCGAAGCAAACAGAATTTGGGTGTGGGTGTGGATGAAAAGAAGAAACACACCCACTCACACCCACACCCACACCCACGCACACGTACACAAACTCACACCCATCCCACACCCACTCTCCACACGCACATCACACACCCATATTCCCATACCCACATTCCACACGCACATCACACACCCATATTCCCATACCCACATTCCGCACCCATACTCCACACCCACACTCACACTCAACACACCCACACCCATACTCACACCCACACCGACATCCACCCATACCCACACCGACATCCACCCACATCCACACCCCACACCGACATCCACCCACACCCACACCCCACACCGACATCCACCCACACCCACACCCCACACCCCACACCCACACCCACACCCCACACCCCACACCGATACCCCACACCCACCCACACCCACACCCACACCCACACCCCACACCCAAATTCGGACACTGCTGAAGTACGATGGGAATCCGAAAAATCCGGGGCATCCCATGGGAATCCAGGATGTACAATGAAAATCTCAGAAATCCAGAAAGTACAAAGTCCTTCGTTTCTCCC